CTATATATATAAATAAATCTCTCAATGTGTATGTGTGTGCCTACATATATATATATATATATATGTGTGTATGTATGCATGTTTCAAAATGGTTCTTTGTATATTAGACAATACTGTTCTGTTCCCTCAACACACATATACATATATATAAACACACAAACAAATGCACACACATATATACATGGAAAGAAAGAGGGATTGAGAAATATATACATATATACATAAATATAAGTCTCTCTCTCTCTTTTCTCTATCTATCTATATATATATATATATATATATATATATATATATATATATATATATATATATATATATATATGTATATATATATATATATATATTTATTATATATATGTGTGTGTATATATATGTGTATGTGTGTGTGTGTGTGTGGATGTATGTGTGTGTATGTGTATGCATATATCTGCATGTAAGTACACATTTTTCTTTGTATATTTGTTGTAAATTGCAATATTATTTTCTTTCACCAAAGACCTCGTCTACAATTTCCCTTTTAATCTCAAGTATTCTTCTTCCCTTTGTATTTGATTGAATAAAAGATGAGAGTTTAGCTTTGGGAAACTGACCTTTCATCAACTGACAGTGGATGAACTAACAATTGAGAAAGGCAAATAAACAGTCTTGTTGATGGCATACACTCACTGTGCTCAATGGCAAATCGGAGAGATGGCTTACTCTTTAAAAACAATAGACAGCTGCAATATCCAGTGTTCAATACCCAGTGAAAGATTCTATCAAACACTCAATGCCAACTTAAAAGAAATGCATTTATGCCAGTCTCTGCCTAAATATCATGGTGTTTTATACTACAGGCCTACTCATGGTACAACTAGTGGCTAGAATTAAAACCCTATTTCAAAATGTTTGCATTTTTGAAATTGGGGGAGAAAAGTAATATTTAAACAAAATTCTTAATAAATGTCTTTTGCATTAATTTTATAGTATACAATATTATATTTGATTCTGTGTGTTGCATCTGTTGGTCTTGAGAGGCAGTGGATTTGCATCCAAAGAGTTATACCTCAGCTGCTGATGGCTGTGCAGCATCTGTTTTGTCTGTGCCGGCTCATACGGGAGTTACAGTCTCAGTTGTAATGAATGCATGTGAAGACACTCTCCCCTGATGTCACTTTATTGTTTTTTTTCCATCAAACTCACTTCACCCTGGATGGCAAGCCTTCATTTCTCCTCTCCCTGATCAAGCACTCAGTGTCAATCATGTCTCCAGTGTGAGCGATCACTGGCAGCATCTTCCCACCTCTAAATATCCATGTCCATGTCACAGATATCCTTGAATTGAAGATGAGGTCATCCTCATACTCTCTTGTCAGTGGCCAGTTCTCCATAGAGAAGGACATACAAAATCCTCCTATCTGGTATATGGTGTACATATCTGAGTCAGCAGAGCCAGCACTGGTGGAGAAGGGTGCATAGGCTGGGTAACTGAGCACAGGTGAGAACTACAGCATTGCTTACTCAGTTGAACCAATTGATGCCCAGAATGCGACAGACAGTGAAGATGAAAGGTGCTGAAGCATCTCTCCTGCCATAGAGCACCATGTTGACAGTACCTGTCCTATCGACTGCAACTTAAAAAAAATAGAAGGAAATGGGCCTATATGCTTCTATTTTATGTTTTTCAAAGGTAAACTAAAATTCAATATCAGTCAGTTATATGACATACATGATCATGGATCTTTTGAGGCAGATTTTTTCCCCGCAGTAGGTTGACATTTCTTTCTGCAGTAGACCAGTTGCCATCCAAGGCTACAGAACCCAGTCTGTCCTGCTACTTACCCATAGCTGTGGAGGAGAAGAAGAGGATTCATACCTTCTCCAAAATGTAAGTGAATGCAATGGATTTGACTGGAATTTAAACTCAACTTTCCGATTTCTCAAACTGAGCCACTATCCATTACTTCACTGTGCCTCCCTGCCTCGTCAGTCATGTATCAAAAGATATATGATCACCTAAGCGTGTATCACTCATGGCACATAACTGACTGAAAATTCAATATACATTTTTAAAAATGTCTTTTAGAAGGAAAAAAAAAACTCTAATTACTTTTAATTTTATCATCCGTAAGACTTGTTATTATGAATAACAATACCATAGAGAAAAATATTAAATTAAATTAAAATATTAAATTAAAAAATATTAAATGAACTTCATCTGAGAAATAATGGCTTTTTTAAATATTGTTTTCTGTATAAAAACAGAATTGAGTGAAAATGTTTTTGGATGAATAACAGAAATTTATTAGGAAATGATTGATTTACAGTTTATTTAAAGCCAGAAAATATTTTTTGAGATAATAATGATTAAGTGATACAAATCTTACTAATTAACCCATAGTTGGGGGGAGAAGAGGTGGATTTGTATATTATCTTACTTTTTTTTATTATATAAATTTTTTAGAAAAAAGTTTGTTAAAAAGTAAACTTAACAAAACATTATTAAAGTTAACTTTCTTCAGAGAGACTTTGTAAAATTTGTAAGAAAAAAACAGAAAATATTGGATAAATGAATTATTTTTTCAAATTGAGTAAAATAACAAATTTTTCAGTTAGAGCATAATGCCTTGTCTAGTTCTTCAACTTCAAATACATTTTTTAATTTAATTTTGCAGTGTAAAATGTTACATTACAGTATATGGGAGTTATACCACTGAGTAAATAATTATAAACCCTCATATATATATATATATATATATATATATATATATATATATATATATATATATGTATATATATATATATATATATATATATATATATATATATATATATATATATATATATATATATATATATATATATATATATATATATATATATATATATATATATATATATATATATATATATATATATATATATATATATATATATATAATAAAAAAGGCTTAAACACTAATATTCCATGGTCATAATTTATTCCATTGGAATCAAAATACGATCCAAATCATCAGACCTACAAATTCAAAATCAAAATTTTCCACTAATATTATATATATATATATATATATATATATATATATATATATATATATATATATATATATATACGACAACAGTAAACAATGAGTAAAATTTTAACAAACCTTTTTGCCTGTTGGAAAGAGAAATACAGATTATGCGAAATAATTAAATCTTATCATTAGTGTATTTTTAATTTTTTTTTAATCATGTTTACCCCAAGCAAAGCAGTAAATCTACTAAGGAACAAGGGGTTGCTGGATGTTGAATAATTAGAAACAGAAACATTACTAATGAGCAGGAAGAGAAAAGAGTAATCAGGAGGACAGTAGATAGTGATTGACATTGCATTTCAATTTTTGCCTGGTCATCACCTAGATGGGTGACTGCTTAGGAATACTGTAAGATTGGATGTGCAGGTGATGAAATGGAACTGGAAATCAGGGAGCCAAGTTCCAATTTCAGTCACGTTCATTATATTCCATTATATGAATCCACCTCTTCTCCCTCTTGCTATGTGTTAAATACCGTAATTCCCCATGTATCTTATGCATTTTTTTCTAAAAAAACAATAAGTAAAATTAGGGATGCATATTATGCACAGCTACAAAAAATCTAAAAAAATTGCCATTTCATAGATCGATTTCAGTTGCGAAATGACTACTCACCACAAACATATGACAATTTGACACTAACATTCGGTGATTGCGACCCCATAAGGATGACAAATACAATAACATATACCTAACAATACTTACAAATGTAAAATAAAATAAGAATTATCATAAAACTAAATTAGAATAAAATTATTCTATATTTAAAACCATTTTTTATAAGAATAGGAAATTGGAGAGGTACAATTTATAGGGTTTGATTACCAAACAAGGGGTGTGTAATATGTGTGAGTAAAAGAATTTCCCCACACTTTCAGCACAATTTTAGGGGTGCATATTATGGATGAATGTGTATTATACTTGCGACTGAACAATCAAATTTATAATGATTCTTGCTACTTCTGTTAAATAATCCACAAAGGTGTTGATATGCCGTTAAACCAAAAAAAAAAATAAAAAAAAACAACCAACCTGCTCATATAGTTGTATCAGTAAATCATTATTATCTCCAAAAATTCTTACAATCTAAAAATATTTTCTAGTGTTAAATAACCAACAAAAAATCGTAATTGTTCGGATATGCAACTACGCTATGGTAGCTAGGCTTTTTTGAATTTAATCGAGATCTCACCAATTTACAACTGAGCTGCTTAGTTGTAACCGTAAATTCTATACTAACAGTTTCTTTTCTTCTCACTTGTGGATCTCCCTTCCGGTTCCATGCTTTCCATCAAACATTAATCTGGAAAAATTTAAATGCTAATGTCAATCATTATCTACTGTCAGCCTAATTACTCTTTCCTTTTCCACTCATTATTAATGTTTCTTTTCCTAATTCCTCCACACCCTGTAACCCATTATGTCTTAGTGGCTTTATTGCCTTGAATGGGGTGATGCTAATTGAAAAAAAAAAGATAGATAAACAGTTATTTATGAGGGCGTAACGAACGTGCTAACTAAGGAACGACTGAACAATCAAATTTGTAATGATTCTTGCTACTTGTGTTAACCTATCTGAGCAAAGAAAAAGAGTGTTCTCTTAACTTTAAAGACTGACTATGGCCGTATCATGTTGAAACATCAGTTCTAATAAGATCAACAAAATTAAGTAACGTTGAGCTTCGCTTTGCTTTTTATTATATTTAATCATGACTACAGTTTTTAGAATTTTCTGATGCACCATGTCATAATCATTTCATTTTTCCTCAACAGACAACCGTATTTTTTTTTGTTTTATCGGTCAAATTCGAGGCCATTCCTGTTTCAAAACGTAAGATCATGATTTTTAGACAAACGAGACACAAGTTGAAAATTATGACGACATATTATTGAACACCTCTCCGGATATAATCTCACCCTGGAGATGCATGGTTTTGATTATATCACGTTAAAATACCGGTGCCTGTAAGATTACCGAAGTTAAGCAATGTCGAGCCAGGTCAGTACGAAGATGAGTGACCACTTAGAAATACTAGGTGCTGTAATTTGAGTGGTATAATGGCTCGGGATTTTTGACTGGAGAGCCGAGTTCCAATTCCAGTTGGGTTCGTTATATTCATTATTGTCCCCAGAAATAAAATAAAATATTTATATTTCAGCATTAAATAACCCGCAGAGGTGTTGATATGCTGTTAAACAACAACAACAAAAAAAAAACAACCAACCTGCTCATATAGTTGTATCAGTAAACCATTATTATCTCCAAAAATTCTTACAATCTAAAAATATTTTGTGGTTTTAAATAATCTTGATAAAACATAAATAATAAATCACTTGATCAATCCATAAGATCAATTTACAATATATTTAGCGAGCAGTTTTTCAATATGCATCATCAGTAGTGCTTAATTTGTAGTAATCTGAAAAATGTTTTGAAAAAAATGGTTATTTCAGATTGCAAAGCCAATTCTCCAACTACAACGGAAAGAACAATTTTGCAAGCAATACAAAGTGATTAATGGCCGAAAAACTAGATTAAATATTCAAGAAAATACCAGCAACATAACTATATGATTGCCTTCAGAAAAATAGGGCAATATTTTTTGGTTAAATAAGTCCCATTAATAATTGCTTATTTACTCATCCCTATGCTAGCAAATTATTTGTATCGGGTGAAGGATAGCATTGTGATAGGAACAAATACTAGAACATTGACACTGCAATTATTGCAACCTAAAGTGTTTACTTATATTTGCTTATTTGAAGGTTGGATAAATGGGGTGGGTTTTTTGAAGATAGTTGCAGGCACAGACATTGAGATATAATTTGTTGGCTTAAATATTTTTAATGCATATATATATATATATATATATATATATATATATATATATATATATATATATATATATATATACATATAATACATACATACATACATATATATATATATATATATATATATATATATATATGTTTATATATATTTATGGATTATTTATCAATTTTTACGGGGTCGAATACATTCTTTTTTTTTATGGATACAAAAATATTTCCAAAACTCGGGTTTATCCCCAACTAAATAAACAGTATTAAACGACAGACACCCACTGGCAGCTGAATGTCAGAGAAATTTTTCAGACCGGGCCGAAAAATGGATGGTATTTATCAATTCAATAGGAATTGGCAAAGGCTTTTTTATCCTATATGCCAAAAATAAACCATCTAAAGTTTAATCGGGCTGTTTATTATAAACAGACAAAGTTTTTGTAAAATGGTCGGCAGCTCACAAAGCACAGATTACCCTTTTGATCCTAGCCACTGGGCCGAGCGGGTATTCTTTATATATAGTTATCACCCACAGGATTGAATGGCACAAGGCCTTTTTATATATATATATAGCCAAAATAAATAGTTATCTTATATATATATATATATATACCCTTGGCGGAGCCTTCCGGGGTTCTTCTGCAAGCATATATATATATATATATATATAGCACAGATATACACTTATATATATACCGGGCCGAGCGGGTATTCTTTTATGGATAAATATATATAAATAGTTGTTTATATAAATATATTAAACAATATTTACTGGCCTGATATGTCCGAGAAATTTTCAGAGATAAAATATTGTCCCTCCAATATATATTTATATATGAAATATATATAGTTTATCTTATATATATAAACAGATATATGAATGACTATTATATATATATATATATATATATATATATATATATATATATATATATATATATATATATATATATATATATATATATATATATATATATATATATATATATATATATATATATATATATATATATATATATATATATATATATATATATGTACAAATGAAATTATTTCAAATATTCAGGATATGACAATAACTTACATCCGGCAGCAAGAAGGTTTTGAGGAATGTCGAACCGCTTCTTAATTGCTGTCTTTCCCTGTTAGGGTTCTAAATATTAGCAAATAGTTAACCCCACAAACTGGAGTCAAAACACTATGAAAGTATAAAAATATAATTTTATAGTAAAAATACCAGTCACACTTTTTCCTAGTAAAAAAAAGTAACAGCAATAAATTTGTGTTAAAAAAAAAAAATTACCAGTAATACATTTTTGTAAAATATATTTCTAATGCTCCTAAGAAAATTAAATTTCAGCCTTAAATGACTCATAAGAAGGCGATATGCCACTAAACAAACAAACAAATTAGTTTCTTTTACAATATTTATTCCAAGACCAATACATCCCAGGAACATAAAAAAAAAAACATTTTCAAAAATTGCACTACAAGAAACAAGCTGTAATTGAGTAACAAAATTTTTTTAAAAATTCAGTATCTGTCTATATTTGAGATGAGGTATTATGTTCACTGTTCGGACTATTGTCCTCATCTTTGTTGCCATATTTATTACAACATTTCAGCCATTCAGTATCTGTCTATATTTCTGAGATGAGGTATTATGTAGATTATTTACATTATTCGGACTATTATTCTCATCTTTGTCACCATATTTATTACATTTCGACCTTTCAGTATCTGGCTATATTTCTGAGACGAGGTATTATGTACATTATTTACTTTATTCGGACTATTGTCCTCATCTTTGTTGCCATATTTATTACGTTTCCGCTTTTCAGTATCTGGCTATATTTCTGAGATGAGATATTATGTACACTATTTACATTATTTGGACTATTGTCCTCATCTTTGTTGCCATAATTATTACAACATTTTGGCCATTCAGTATCTCTCTATATTTCTGAGATGAGGTATTATGTACACTATTTACATTGTTCGGACTATTGTCCTCATCTTTGTCGCCATATTTATCACATTTCTCAAGGACACATGGGAAAGTAGATAATGGTGTTAATTAGATCCAGTGACAGGACCCAAAGAGTGCGAGTTCGATACCTGGTTATGGTGGAGGAGAACTTGGAGAAGGGAATTAACAGGAGACAACTGATAATTGACATCCATTAGACACAGCACGTGGAACTAGAACAGTCTACCCCAGCAATTGAAATAAAAGGTTCAGTTCGACATTCCAACCACCTGAAGAAGGCTGAAACATACAACGGCTGAAACATTGTGATAAATATGGCAACAAAGATGAGGATGATTGTCTGACAATGTAAATAGTGTAAAAAAAATTATATATATTAAAAAACGCTTTTAAAGGTATTTAAAATTAAAAGTATTTAAAATAATGCAAACTGCATACAGAAAAGGAAAATTTATATATATATATATATATATATTATAAAATAATGCAAACTGCAATACAGAAAGGTATGTATATTAAAAAAGGTTGCATAAAATATATATATATATATATATATATATATATATATATATAGAGAGAGAGAGAGAGAGAGAGAGAGAGAGAGAGGCAGTATATCTTTATTAAGCATATTTGGTTGAATAATCTGGAAATATGTCTATTTTTATTTTAAACTTCTCAAGTTCACAGATCAATTTCATAGTGTTATTACAAAACTGATTAAGAAAGACACCATAGTTTGGCATATTTCTTTTATTTTTTACAAGTACTTTCAATTTCATCTGTGATCATCTTCAGGGTTGAATTGCTAAGACAAAAATTAATATAATTAATAGTTATTAAGTTTTTGTAAATGAGCATGAAACGCATTCCGTTATAGTCAATTTAAAAATTGGTGTTAAGAATATCTAAGGGAGGTAATTTGATATTAATGTTTTAAAATATTCAACTTGCAATTTTAAAAATAATGTATATAAAAAACTGCAACCAAAACTAATTAAAATTAATTATGAGTATAGCAACAATCTCTTAAAATGTCTATAAAAGCAATATTTTGAAATGCTCAAATTGTAAAAGATTTTTTAAATTGCAGGAAAAATGATTTAAAAAATGTTACTATAAAGCAATTTAATTAAATGAAAATGTATAGAAAATGCTTTAATTGCTAGATCATCCCTAGTTAATTTACATCCAAATTCTTACATTTCACTTTTCTTTACAGATCTTCTATCATTATAAAGTGGAATATTTAAAAACAAAAGTGATAAAAACTTATACAGAAAGAAAAACATTCTAAATTAAATTGACCCAACTATGTACCCCAAAAATTTATTAAAAAAAAATTAAATTTAAATCTAAAATTCTCTGCATCCTCCTCCTTTGTGTAGTTACATCAGTATTAACATCACTTTAATTTTGACTATGTCCTAAAGGTCAAAATGCATCACACATAAACTTGTTCCAATTTATTGTGGTTATTTCCCTAAAATACATATAAAACTTACCATATATATATGTAGATAATGTATATGGATTTTTTATCACTACCTAATGTGACACAAGGTCAATGTAAAGTGGGTTTAACAACAATATGGTGGAAAAATTGCTTAAGCATTCTTGTCACTTCCCCTTTTTGTGAATGCATCGGATGACCTCATGAAGGAGAGGTACTGCCTGGGAGGATGGCCCTCCTGGGGTTTGATCCTGATATTATTTTGAAACTACCCTGGCAAAGTTAGATATATATTTACATGTGTGTATATGTGTGTCTTTGTGTGAAAATAAGGAGACAGTTTTTTTCACTTCTAGTCGTAATATTTTAAAAGCGTTCCCCTCCCTCCCACCATACTTTTGGCAAATTTTATTGTTCCTTTTTCACTCAGTGGCTCTTTTAATCTCCTCCGCTATTATTTTCACTGGGGTGGAGCTTTATTGTTATTTCAGTTATCATACATTTGCTTGTTTGTTTGTCTTTCAGAGAAGGGCAGGGCAATCATTTCCTCGTCTAATCTATTTAGTTTTCTCATAATTCCTCATGTTGTTAACCCAGATATTCATACAAATACACAAACACACACACACACACACACACATATATATATATTTATATATATATATATATATATATATATATATATATATATATATACACACACATATATATATATATATATATATATATATATATATATATATATATATATATATATTTTATGTATATATATATATACA